TACAAGATTATAAGCCTTTGTTGGTTTTCAAATTCCATTGTACAAACCTTTAGAGAAAATTTTCTGATTAGGATCTGTTTTAAAAGGTTCTGGCCACTGGCGAACCTACATCTGAAGTCTGAAATGATATGGCAACCCCTTCAACAATAGATCTGAGGATCCAACTGTCAAAATATATGCTATGAATAGATTCTGGCAAGCTCTCCAAGACCATAGAACTGGAGGTTTGGATGCCCCAAGAAAATTTGACCAATGACAGGAGACTTTTGAGATCATATGAAATAGATATTAGAACATATTCTGAGGTCAACATTATCTACTTCAACCCATTGGCTAAGGATTCTCTCACTAAAATGGCCTTCTTCAATAATGCTAAAAAAAAAGCATCGATATTTTAAAAATGTCACACAGTATAAAATGTTGCTCCAGGTGCCCCTCTTGGATAAGGGCTCCTGAAGCTTAAGTTTTGTTAGTTTCATGGTGGATCTGTCCCTGCTTTATTTTTTTAAAACTGACTGCTTAGTTGATCGAGTTGTGACATGTAAATAAATTCACATTAAAATATTTTTCACAAATATTTTCATGCTAAATAGTACTTGGATTCAACAGAAGTATTATAAAAAAATACTTTGAAAAAAATTAATTCTAAATTTATTTAGATACAAATGTTAATTTTTCTTCTGATTGCCTTTAAGACTGTTGCAGATTTAAAACAACCCACAACAAAGAAAAAGGCAAAAAGTTGTTTAAATGTAAAAATATAAGAAATTTCTATTTTTGTGTTTTTTACAACTAAATTTCTCTTATCCCGTTTGATTTTTAAAGTTCTTACAGACTTTTTTCACAGTTGTTTGTTAAGATGAAAAGAAATCATTTCTTTGTGTGTATGTGTGAGAAAGAAGAGGCAAGGGAGAAAGTGAGGAGGAAGTGTAAGTGTCACATAGCTTGGTGAGGAAGATGGGTGAATGAGTAAAGGAATTTTTTTTCATCTGAATGTCATTAACTATTGCCATCTGTCTCTCCTTCTTTTGTCTGTCTACTCTAGAATCTTTGCTTAAATACCCTTCAGAAGCACCACGAAGCATGTTTTTTTTTCTTGTTGGTTGGTTGTTGTTGGCAAATGTTAAACATTTATTTTCAAAGTATTAATTTATTAACCAGAAGAATGCACAATCCTCTGACGCAGGAACCCCTTTTTTGTTGTCATTTGTTGTTTGACTGTCTTTGTGTTTACTTCCATTTTCGCTTTACAAAGCAAACAAAAAAAAAAGTAAAAACGTTTGGGGATATTTTCTTTCCTTCAGGTTTTCTAAAGTCTTGTTTGTGCAAATTATTTGATACTGTACAAAATACAATAATTTTGGCACATGGCCGAAGAAGGGGGGGAAAGGCTGGTCTTTGCTAACTGTCCTAGTCAATCAAGACCACGACCCATTCTTCTGATATAATTTATCCATTTGCCAAAAGAATCCATCCATCACCATTCTATTCTACATATACCACAATACCACATATTCCCAGCAGGAACCTACAAAAACACACCATGATATAAAAATCTCAAAATATTTAAATACAAAAATATATAAAAATTTCATGAAACGTGAAATGAGGGGGGGGGATGAACACTGAAACTAGCAAAAAATTGAAACAAAACAAAAACAAATAAGACCCGTCCACCCCTCAATATAATCAGAATGGCTGCTGTATTCTGCCGATAGACAGAATCAAGCATGTTATAAAATAAAATAAGACATATCTCAGCTGATTTACAGGCAAATAAACTAACATACTCAAGAGTGAGAGCCGGATGTGAACGTGACAAGGCCCCGTCACAAAATGACCATTATCGTCGTTTACGCATAAGCCCGACGCACGAGTTCCAGTCGAAAAATAAAATAATATTTTAAAGTGTTTCTATTTTTCGATCAATAAAAATGCTTCCCTCCTAATTATACTCGCGTCGTTTTTCGATCCTGTTAAGCCATAAAAACGCCATAAAATGGGTTACACAGGGAAGTACAACAGCAGTCAACAGGAGGCCAGGGAAGAGACCTGTCACGGTCAGTCAGCAACAGTCAACAGGAGGCCAGGGAAGAGACCTGTCACGGTCAGTCAGCAGCAGTAGCGCCACGCCAACCAGCGAGAACTACTATGAGAGATCAACCCAGGTCGGCAGCCGGCTTATGAACTATACCACAAGGTAGTTGTCCCAAAACCACATGTTCCTATTGAAATAAATCACGTAAATCTATTTCTGCTGCTGTCATATTTCTTTCTTGCAACCATATGCTTGTCTATAACAAGCCGCACACCCACTAATGAAGGAGGAAGGGTAAAAATAAATGACGGAATGGGAAAATTAAAGTCTGACCCAGTCGAAACGAAAAAAAGGGAACCAAAAACAAACGCCCCCCCCCTTCCAGGAACGTAACCACAAACCAGAAGACTTATCACAGTTAATCTCGGCCCACGTGACCTTTCTGTAGCGTTCAAGAGCCTTCTGTACCACCTCAATGTCACTGCGATACGACACAAAATGGATACATCATTGGCGTACACGGAAACCTTAGCTCGAGGATGGAAATTCCAGCCGGACTGTTCACCTTGTACCTCAATCAGCGAAGGAGAGGCTCCAATGCCAAAGCGTAAAGTAGGGGTGACAGTGAGCAACCCTAATGAACCGACCAAGATAGCACAAAAGCACGCAACTGCTTTCCATTCACCTGTACCACAGCACTGGGGGATCGATACAGGAGGCTAATCCACTTACAGAAGTCAGGTTGGAATGCAGGACAGCAGCCAGGTACTGGTAAATTGATCAGCGTGGCTTGCTCATCATCATATTTTGAGCCTCTAGGATCGTTCGAATAAAATGCAGGTTGCTCTGAATTGTTCGGCCCCACACAGCACAAGTCTGATCGAGTCCCACCAGACTCTCGGCAACTGACTGCAAACAGTCTATCAGGATCTTGGCCAAAATCTTTAACTCTGTGCTTAGCAGAGTTATAGACCTGTAATCATCTAAATTCCTGCCCTCCATCCTTACCCCGTTTCAACTGTGTGACCACACTCCTGGTAATCTGACTGGGGATGGACCCCTGCTGAAACCAGTTGTTGAACACGATGGTCAAAATCGGCACAAAGATGTGTGTCAGCCTCAAGTACAATTCATAAGGTAAACCATCAAATCCCGGAGACTTGCCACTGCCAACTCTCTTCAATGTCAAGTAGACTTCGCCGTCCGTGATCTCATCCTCGCAGCTAGCTGCTTCAGTTGCCGAAAGCCGAGGCAAGTCAACCAAATAGCTGCGAAACTCATCACCACTGAGACCAGGCTTCTTGGTACACTGGCTCTCGAGATGCTGCTGAAACATCTTGCACATATCATCAGTCGATCCCAGAGTACGCCCATCTGTGGTTTTGAACTCATGAATGTAATGATTGATACCTCGACGGATCTCTTCCTTGTGCAATTGTGCACCCATGTTCACAGCTTCGTTAGACATCTTGTTTTAATCCATGCCTAACTAACTGACACTTGTAGCGCTCGCTAGTCGATTACTCAAGAGCCTGCCTACCCATCTCTAGGGAATCACCACCAGCCTCCACTCAGGACAGACTATCTTTGTGTTTTCACCTTATTAGCCTTATCTAGTGCAAGCTGCTGGCTATATTCGGTAGTGAAGGACCTAATCCTATCCTTAAGCCTCTCCCACCACCTATTCCCAATAACCTCCCCTCCTATTTCCCGCTGCACTAGTTTAATTAGCTGTTGCTGGAAGTCCCGCCTGTCCAGTAAAGACAGATTGAGCTTTCCGGTGTCCAGCCATTCTAGGCCTAGAACCTAATGTTATCCGGGCACAGACGAGTCTATGATCCAAATAGCCTAACCAGTGGAATGTGGAACAATCTAATAAGTCTATATCAACCTTTCTCACTAAAATTCTATCCAGGTAGCTGGCAACCTGGGTTTGACGGCCACTTACGTGCCCACACCTACATCACCCGGAATCTATCGACGAGACCAAACTCAGATCAACCAGGCTATGATCACCCAATGATCTCCCGCTAGCTCACCCCCTCTGTCTATATCAGGATCCAGGATGGCATTCCAGTCCTCCCCTAAGACTAAGTGCAAAGAATCCACCGGGAACAGCCCTAACTGACGAAAAAACGAGCGACACTTCGTCCGGTCGGTGGGCGCATAAATCGCAACAACCCGAAACAAACTATTGTTTATGGCAATATCAGCCACGATTAACCGCACCCCCACCCCGCATTAGCGTGGACATGGTCCACCCCTGCACCCAGGATACATTTAACCAACAAGGAAACACCTCTGGCCTGCTGGTCCCAAAGTTGCATACAAACATCAACTTCGTGTGTTTCCTGGATCGCAGCTACATCTACACCGAAGGACAAGAGATCATGAAGTAGGCAGGCAGCCTTACTTTGATCCCTCAAGCACCTCACATTCAAACTAGCTAAATTGAGAAACATTTTTCAGGTTTGCTTTCCCTAATCACAGATTGAATGGAAATCTGCGGCAGTAAGGACCACAGCGGATTGTTCCAAACTCCCTGTCCCCATCTCTGTCATCATACGACCATCTAGAACAATACTGCTGACGTCTGTGGGATATGTTATCTTTAGAGCCTTGTATAATGTGGGATGGAGAATAACAGGGACCTTCCCGGTGCAAAACTTCTGCAATTTCCTCAATTCAGGTGATCCCACCTCCACCATCCTAATGGCTGGGAAGGCCTCCTTAGCCTCCCAAAGGTGATCCCATAGACTTAACCCTCTCCCCATGTCCCTAATCAAAATTATGACACCTGTGGCTTTAGGGAAATTTCTAGGGTCTTCTACTGACACCCCACCGAGCGAAGTAATTTTAAAGAGGGGCCTTAGTAATGCTTTTTTTTGCGAGGAAAGGCCCCGCCCTATAGCCTACTTGTCCACTTAAATGGCTCCTTTTGGGGTGGGGGGAAATGGGAAGCATGGTGTTGATGGAAGTAGAGTCAGAAGGAGGTGTGTTGTAAGGAGGTGTGTTGGAGGGGAGTTTATGGGTGAGCTGTGTGGGCTGGCAGAGTGTAGGAAAGTGGAGCCCTAATAAAGGAACAAGAAAAAGTTTTTTTTTTTTTTTGTCCAAGGCTTTTTCCCGCCTACTTCGACCAGCCTGTTTTTCTTTTGTGCTCACTTTTTTCTCTTCCTCTTCTCTCCCTCTTTTTAAAGAGGCAGATCGAGGTAGGAGCACCTTCTCCATTTCCACCTTTTGCTGCTGCTGCTGCTCCAGTTGAGGCTCCTTCTGCTGCATTTCCTGTACCTTTTCCTGCTGCTTCTCCTGTTGGCTCCGGTTGGGGCTTCTTCTGTCTGTCCTTTTGTTGCTGATGATGCTGGTCACATTTCTGCTCCTGCAGCGACTCTTTGGGGTTTCTTGGACTCCTCAGTGATTTTCCAAGCGTGGCGTAAATGTGGCACAAGGCCGAAAGTATGGGGCACCCAGTGAGGATCGAACTCACGACTCAGTTGTATTACACCGTCTCGTGGTGCCCAACTCTTGTTTGTGCAAACAGAAACTAAACATCACAAATAATTAAATTACTTTACTCTTCTTTTAAACATTTTGGAGTTTGTAAAAAATTCTACATAGAAGTTTCCAAGAATTAGATTGATAATTAATTTAAGTATTAATGAAGTTATTTAATCCAAGCAAATTATCTGATTTTTTTTTTTTTTTTTTTTTTATTTAGCAAAGAGTCAAGGAATTATTTTGTTATTTGTGCTTCAGCATTAATCATTCTATTCGACGAGAGAAGACAGGAAAACAATTCCCAATCTCCACAGTTTGTTTTGGTCCCCTTTCATCTCGACTGTGGCAGTCTTATATATTTCCCATGTCCGTATAAATTTTCTCCTTTCCCTCTCCCTTAGCGAGAGAGCTTCTTGATTTTGTCCCATGGGCAGAATACAGAGGCCTTGTAGCGGTGTGTGGCGGTGAGGTTGTCAGAGTAGAAGTAGAAGAAACATGTGGGTGAAATTAAGTAAGTGTTAACATATTTTAAAAAAAAAAATATTTTTTACCAAAATCTTCTAAAAAAAAAAAAAGTATTTATTTGTAAATAAGTGTAGTGGACCGTGGCTGTAATGTTGTCGGAGTAGAAGTAGAAGAAACATGTGGGTTCAGATTTTCCTGCTAGCTGGTCCAACTACACAAGAAAGTTGGACTTTTAATTAAGTCCAAAGAATGCAAAGAAAACAAACAAAACACAAGACTGATAATATATGTATACAAATATATATATTAATAATAGGTTACATAGAAACAGTTACAAAAGGACAAAGTGTGTGTGAATATTATATATGTGCGTTTGTGTGTGCATTGTGCTTAGCGTGTTCCCAGCACTTTGAGAAATGCTATCCCTTGTTAGCGTCCCATGGGCAGAATACAGAGGCCTTGTAGCGGTGTGTTGCGGTGAGGTTGTCGGAGTAGAAGTAGAAGAAACATGTGGGTTCAGATTTTCTGCTAGCTGGTCCAACTACACGAAGAAAGTTGGACTTTTCTCGAATTAAGTCCAAAGAATGCAAAGAAAAACAAACAAAACACAAGACCGATAATATATGTATACATCAAAAAAAAAAAAAAATATATATATATTAATAACAAACATGGTTACATTTTCCTGCTAGAAACAGTTACAAAAAAAGGACAAAACAAAACACAAGACCGTGTGTATACAATATTATATATGTGCGTTTGCGTGTGTGTGTGATTAGCGTGTTCCCAGCACGCTGAGAAACGCTATCCCTTGTTAGCGCCTACATTTCGAGGTTGTAAGCTGAAAGCCCGAGGAAAAAGAGAGATTTACCCCCAGGTGTCGATGCGAAGACATGAGAGAGAAAGAGAAAGAGGCGAAGGGTCAGCGGCTATTTATAGCAGCGAAGAGAGACCCCTGGTGAAAGGGTTACGAACTGAAGGAGGAGTTAAAGTCCGACAGCCTCTCTGTTTTGAGCGTTGGATGGGCCCTACGAACATCAGTTATGTTTAGTTTTTTGTGTTGATATTTAGTTTATTATTGGGTTCATCTCCCTTCCCTCTCATTCCTCATTATTAGAATTTTATGTATAATGTTTATCATGGGTATGGGGGCGCGTTTTGTAAGTCCCACTTGAGAGGAAGTGGTATTATGGTCCATGGATGATGGTGATGGACTATGGTGAATGTGTAAATTATTGTAATGAGTGAATGGGTCGTGAATCGGATTAGCTAGGTATAAGATAGTGTGGACCAGCCTCAATCCCTCCCCATTGTCGGCCTTGTGCCACAATTATGTACTTGTTGCATAATAAATATTGAGCCGTTTGATTCTGTTGTAGAGTAGAATACAGTGGCATCTCCTTTTTGACTGGGGATTGTATGGGTCCTAACATCAGTTATTTTGATTTGTTTTGATATTTAGTTTGTTTTGAGGCTCATCTCCTCCCTTCTCATTTTAAATCATTAGATTTTTATGTATGAAGTAATTTAATTATTATCATCAAATTTTTAAGTCACGCGGTGCGTTTTAGGTCCCCCAGAGAGGATGCGGCATTGTGATGTAGAAGAATATGGAGGATTGACTGGTGACGGATGAGTTTTTATGGTGAATGCACAAATTGTAATGAGTGAATGGGTTGTGAATCGGATTAGCTCTAGGTATATAGTTAGTGAAGATCAGCCTCAAACCATTCCTCCTTTTCGGCCTTGTGCCAAAATTGTATTTTTTTTATATCGAGAAGACAGGAAGACATTTTTTATTTAAGGAACAAATTATTGCTCATCACCGTTTCGAAATCATCTTTGTCAGTGGACGAATCATTTATAAACTTATTATACAATTGTTTTAAATTTTAATATTAGTGTCATGAATTAAACAAACATTGTAGAATTTGTATAGATTAATTGAAAAATCCGAAGAAACCAAGCAAATAACAGTTGAAAAGAAAGAATTTCCTCACTTGCATCAGAAAAGTAAGTACCAAAATTTTAAAAATACAACCATTATTCCGGAACTGAATTTATTTATGTTAATTCAAATTTATTGTAATTTATATTTTTAACTTTTATTTTCTAAAAATGTTTCATCGATCCAGTGTACAATATTAGTATTTTTATGCTATAACGATAGAAATTTAAAATCTGTAATTTAATTAATTCTCCGAAATAAATTCATTGTTAGATGAAGTTGGTTCGATGAAAATGTTTTTTTTTATATCATTTACTCCTACTTAAACTGAGCTGAAAAACTATCTTTATACTTTTTGATAAAAATGTTAAATGAAAAATACATTTTTAAACTAGTGTCGCCTGTCATTCTCTATGTAATTTCGACGAAAACCCACCCCAAACGTGTAATAATCCTCTGTGCCGTTAAGATGAAGAAAGGTGGAAGAAAATTATGAATACAGTGTAACCCGGATATAAGAGAGATTTTCTCTGGTCCCAAATTAGAGCCTGTGTTAACAGTTAATATGTATATATAGACCAAACCCGGATATAAGAGACTTCTTCTCCGGTCCCGACAACTCTCTTATATCCGGGTTACACTGTAATTATAATTTATAATTCAATAAAATTTGTCCACAATGAAATCGGAGATGCTTTCGAAAAGTTATTTACATTGTAAAAACAGTGTTACTACCACAATAACGTAATAATTATAATAATTTGATTTGTTTTTTGTTTTACGAAAAAAAACAGATTTTTCACACGTTATTTGATGGCACTAAAATTTTCAGTACTTATCCACTTTTTTGAAATTACTTGCCCAGGTTTCGGCGGGGCTAGTTTTGAAATGAAAATATTAGCTCAAACCGCCTCTATTTTGGGGACGGGCCTGAGGCGTCACGAAAAAGGGGATGTGCCGATGGAACTTGAGCATTTTTTTGCCACGGTGTTGCTGGTAAACCCACTTTTTAAACCTCGACATGTCCATGTGCCACATTCGGTGGTAACTTGGGAGCACTGAAAATTCCCCTATTCACTTCTAAATGTGTTCATAAAAAGTGTAGTTTGTAAGAAAAGTTGATCAAATGCTTACATTTAGCTAGTTTAAAAAAAAAATATTTAAAAATAAAATGCATTTTAAAAATGAAAAATCTTTCTTAAAGCTTTTTTATTTCAGTTTTAAAATTACGAGTTAATAAATAAATTATTTAATATTTCCAATAGGCAAAATACCTTGCTGTATTCCAATCCGAATTTAAATTGATTGTAATGATGTTTTTAAAATCAGCCATAATGATATATCTGTCAACACAATTCTCTTTATTAAAAAACATTTTTTTACAATATACTTTTCTGAAACTATTTTGAGGAAAATTAACTGATTTTAAGTTTAACTAATCTGAATTAAAACAAATATTAATTTTAGTTTAAAATATTTCAAAAAGCATTTTTTTTTTAATGCAGAGATGTATGTTTTTACAAGGTACAAACGCATTTATCGATAGCTTAATATGTTGGCATTTTTCAGTAAAAGGCACATCACTGTAAAATTTATTTGGTGAAGACAATGTAAACACATTTTTCATATAATTTTTCACTACACATCAATCTCAAAAAAAATATTCTTAATCTAATATTTTAAAGAATTTTAGGTACTACTGCTTTACAACCTTATTTACAAAGATGCTTGTTGAAGACGTTTTGTTTAAAAATTACTGTAGTTACCATTCTTATTTCATGTATGGATGTCTGTAAGTACAAAAATCAGCATGTTTGTATGCACACACAAAAAAAAATTCAAAATTTTTTTGAAATATTGAGGTTGCTGAATTATGTAGTAAGCCTTTCCATTTATGATTAGTAAATATAGTTTTTACCTGATAACAATATCACCTAACAGCTACAAATTACTACAAAATTTAAGATTTAAAACTTTGTAAATTATTCTAATTAAAATTTTAAGAAAATGAAAAAATATTTTTGTAAAAAATTAATTATTCATCATAAAAATAGTGTTCATAATATATCTAATAAAAGCAATTAAAAGTTCTTCTAATTAAATAATGTTTTAGTTTTATTACGTTTTATAATTCAGGGCTTTTTTTTCTTTTTTTATAACTGGGGATTCCGTTAGACAAAAAAAAATTTGATGATTCAAATTTTCCAAGGATTTGTTCTTATAACTCGTATAAAAATTAAGTGCTACAAAAATGATATTGATATTACTTCCTTTTCCACTGCATTCTTTTACAAGGCCTCTCAATGTCAGTATCCTTATTGTTCATTTCACTCAAACTTGTTTTCTGTTGCCATAGTGGGATATGAAAACACAACTATGAAGTGGCAGGATAAACTTTTTGTACAGCAAATGAAGTCACAGTGTGATAAATGTTAACGACCAGTGTTGATGTAAAAACATCCCTAAATCAACATACATACCCTCCAAACATAAATAATGGTTAGACTCGCACACATTATTATCTGAATCTTGCATAGACAAACTAGAATTATGATACATGCATAAATTATACACATGAACACTGCTTGACTATTCAAATGCTCTACTTAACCAATGAAAATCCGACAACACGAAAATAAAAATAGAAGAATTTTTTTTTCTCCATATCTTTCTCTGATGAAGTTTTAATAAAAGTAAAACATGTTAGATTTATAAAGATATATATATATTATTATGGTTTGGCTTCACAAAAACAAAGATCATGAGGGAGTCTGTGCATGTCACATGCAGGCACGTTTGTAACTGGTAAGTCCAATGTGGGATAGGCATACTTGGTTGCAGTAGTTGCAGCTAGCAGTCTGGCCTTGGCTCAATGGCATAGCATTGCAGTACTTCCTCCTCTGCCGCTTGCCCGTGAGAGTGACCCTGTGGATATTTTCAAAGGGGAAGACAACATGTTTAGTGGTGAGAAGCCAGGTGTCACGGTTCTCTGCTTGGATTGACCACTGGCAATGATTGATGTGACAGGCAACAAAGGATCTTTTCAGGCAATCTTTGAATCACTTCTTTGGTCCACCTCTGCCATGATAGCCAGTGGAGAGCTTGCTGTACAATAAAATTTTAGGCCTGCAATGATTCTCCATCCTGGAAACCCACCCAGCCCAGCACAGCTTGGATTTCAGCAGCATGACCGCAATGCTGGTGATCTTCGCCTTTTCAAGAACTTCAATATTGGAGACGAAGTCACTCCAGTGTATCTTAAGGATCATGCAGAAGCAGCACTAGTGGAACCATTTGAGGAATCGCAGGTGGTGTTGGTAAGTGATTCATGATTGAGCTGTATAGGAGAGTGGAGGGGATAATAGCTCTATACATCCTGATCTTAGTGCCCTTCTTCCTGTGTCTATTGTACCACACACACATCTGTTCAGTCTGTTAAATGCAATGCTTGCCCTTGCCAGTCTGTTGTCAATGTACTTGTCGATGACACATCCAAGGTAGAATGCCTTCGGCTCAGTTGTGCCAATGATGATGTGGGGAGGGCAATACTCATCCCGATGTGCAGACTGGTAGAGTGCCACTGTCTTCTTTAAATTGACTTCAAGCCCAAAAAGATTAGCAGCCTCTGTGAAGCAGGAAGCAGTCCGCTGCAAAGCCCCTTCTATGTGGGCAACAAGTGCAGCCAATATACAGGGTGACCCCAAAAAACGGGAATTTTTGAAGTGCGTATTGCCAGACATGAGCAAGTGGCAACACTGCGAGACAGTGACCTTGAGCAAGTAAACATTTGGCCATTTAGAATTCAAGATGAAATTCACAGTATCCCAGCTGAGATGTTGCAGCCGTCAATGAGGAATCTCAACAGCAGATTTCAAGAATGTATTCGTACAGGAGGACGCCATCTACAGGACGTAATTTTTAATAAATGAAAATTCCATCATTGTTTCTTAAATGGCATGTTTTAAGGTTTCAATTACTATGAATAAAATATTTTTCTTCCATCACTCTTGGTTTTACTGGATTGTTAAAAAGTTCCCGTTTTTTGGGTTATCCTGTGTATGTATGTATATATATATATATATATATATATATATATATATATATATATATAAGAGTATTTTTTAAATTTTATTAATATTAATTTTCCATCCCCCTCCCTTACTTTCCAACTACTATTGCTTTGCTCCTCCCCTTCAACTGTAATTCTTGTTGAGGATGTTCAAAAAAATAAACAACGCATTTGGGAATCTTTAGTAGCCTCTACTGCCTAAAGAAACCTTACGGACACATTTATCGATAGCTTAATGCTGGCATTTTTCAGTAAAGGGTACATAGCTGTAAAATTTATTTGGTGAAGACAATGTAAACACATTTTTCATATAATTTTTGAGCTTAAGTGGTTAGTATTCCTTATATATATATATATATATATATATATATAAAATTCGCTTGAAAATGAAATGGGACTAGGAACTTTAAATTAATTCTATAATTGAATTTAAAGTTTTTAGTTTCTGTTTTTGAAACATGGTAATTCTTGTGTAATGTTGGAACCATATTTTTCAGTCAGTAAATTTATAATATATATGTGTGTGTGTGTGTATGTAAAAGTAATAAAAGTAAAAGATATAAATAAAATATCTTCAAAAAACAATTTTACCTGATTATTTATTACTGATTATTTAGTTTCTTTTGTATTTATTCATTAATTATTCACTATTAATTTTACTTAGTTCTGACTTTGTGTGCATTCATATAATTAATTTATTACTTAATTTAAACTGTCCTGGGTATGACAATAAACTACATCTGCGTCCTGGTTATGATGATAAACTACATCTAGCAGGAGGGTTTGAGGAGCATGACCACCTCCTAATTGCTGGTTTTCCAAGGTCAGGATGGACCTGGGATGGTAGCACCTGTTAGGGTCCCAGCTATGGGCAAATAGTTAACTATTACCAGCAATACATTTTTGAAGGAAAAAATATTATCAGAAATAGATTTTTGACAAAATGAAATATTACCAGCAATAAAAAAAATTTTGTTGGCATTAAATAACCTGTTG